TTCATATAGGCAAATCTTATTACTAACCACACATTTCATAACACGATACAACAGCACTTGATTCAACTTACAAAAAATAACATCCAACAAATCTACACCAATATACTGTATTCATATTTTCAGAAATTTAAACTCTCAACCTCGTGGTTTTAACATAATAGTCTTTTAATCAACCACTAAATCAAAAGTTACTATAACATCAAATATATGAATTTTTTTTGTTAATATGCATTACTATATTAAAAAAACATCTCATTTAACTTGAGTGATTATACAAATTTAGTTTTTCTGTTGTTGGAACAACTAATGCATTTATGATTAGAAACTCTGGTCTTAAGTCATTAATATATATACTCAACGAAGAATATAAGCTTTGAATCTAAGAAATTAAAGTTGTTTTTAAGCATGTGCATTTTAGATTAAAAATTGAAGTAACCATTAAGGATGGTTTAAGATACCAGATTCTCATTTCACAATTCTTTACACCATTTTTCTACGTATTTTTCTCTGTTTTTGTTTTTGTAAATGCTCTCTTTTGAAATATTAAAAACCATTTACTTTTACTTTTGTCTTTTGTTTTTACTAAAATTGATATGATACTGTGTGGATCATTGCTACAGCCATTAAGACATATCTGGAGGCTGGAGGTAACCTTTTGTGGAATCAGAAAATCATCACTAAGGATTTGATTAACAATTGTGGGTTTCGGAGAATAAGATCTTTTATTAATAACTCAAATACGAAGCGATTACAAGAGATGGCTTAACCGAGAGGTTATGCCGAAGTGAAAAGAAAGTGTTTGCGAAGTAAGCTAGAAAACGTTGGAGTTCTTAGTTTTAGCTCTGCTGCTCTCTAGATTGTATGAGTTGTTCTTTTGTGTTTCAGGGTCTTCTTATTTATAGGGATAGGAGGTCGGTTGCTCTGAGCTCCTTTACCTTTTCTTCTTAGGTGAATGTTTCCATATTTGTGATATGAAAATATCATTTATTCTCCGAGGAATATGGAAATTTTCCTTTATCCTTCGAGTTAATTCGATGCTTCCGGACTTCCAAGATTATCTTTAAGAGTTTTCCTTTTATCCGAGCTAGGTCGGCGCAGTCTTCATGGTCTTGATGGGCTTAGGTTATTGCTAGAGAAAGTCTTTTAGGAAATGTGCTCATTTCCCCTCTAACAGTAAGTCCCCCTAGTGTATAACCATGTTGCAAGATCCTTTAGATAGCTGGATGCTAGGCTGCTCGATGATTTCTACCGGAATAGTTCGGCGAAGTGCAGGATCCGTTGTTGATGCCAATGCTGCCAGCACGTCGGTGGCAGTGTTCTCAGTTCACGGGATTTTTGTTTGTTCGAAGGAGTCGATTGCCTTGTTATTTTCTGGACCTGCTTTAGGTAAGCATCCATTTGCTCGTTCTTCATGTCGTAATCTCCTTTGAATTGGCTGGCGACAAGCTGGGAATCGCAAAAGGCATGAATTTTTTTTGCTCCTACTTCTTTGGCGAGCCGAATTCCTGCGAGCAAAGCTTCGTATTCGGCTTCGTTGTTCGAAGCAGGGAAGCCGAGCTTGAATGATTGTTCGAGTACTTCTCCTGTTGGTGATTTTAAACAGATGTCAACTCCTGAACCTTGCTTTGAGGACGCGCCATCGACGTACAGGTTCCAGCAGTTTTTAGTGGGGTTTTCATCATTTAGTAGATCTAGTTGTATTTCGATTATGAAGTCTGCTAAGACTTGACACTTGGTGCTAGTACGAGAGCGATACTCGATATCGTACTCGGACAATTCTATTGCCCACTTGGCCATTCGGCCGGACTGACTCGGACTGTGCAGAATGCTCCGAAGTGGTTGACTGGTGAAGACGACAATAGTGTGAGACTGGAAGTAGGGTCATAATTTTTGTGCTGATACGATCACTGCATATGCAAGCTTTCTAGTGCTGGATAACGAGTTTCGGCTCCATCCAAGGTCTTACTTATGTAGAATATTGGTTTATGCTCGCCACGATCTTCCCTAACAAGGACGCCGCTTACTGCCGCCATAGAAACTGCGATGTAGAGATACAGTGTCTCGCCATCCTCTGGTTTGGCTAATATCGGCGGAGTGGTCAGGTAATTCTTTAACTGTGTGAAAGCCTCCTCACACTTGTCATCCCAGTCAAATCGTTTATTACTCCGAAGAAGTTGATAAAAGGGGAAACATTTATCTGTGGAGCGCGAGATGAATCTATTCAGCACGGCAATTCTTCCGGTTAGCCGCTGTACTTCGCGTGTGTTTTTAGGCGATGGGAGATCCAGTATTGCCAAGATTTGTTTCGAGTTTGCTTTTATTCCTTTTTGGGTGACGACGTAGCCCATGAATTCTCCTGAAGTGACCCCGAACGTGCATTTGGCTGGATTTAATTTCATCTCGTACTTCTCGAAGAGTTTTAAAGCAGTCTCTGAGATGGCCAACGTGATCTTTAGCGATTGCAGATTTCACGAGCATATTGTCGATGTAGACCTCTATGGTGCGGCCGAGCTGACTTTCGAACATTTTGTTGACTAACCGTTGGTAGGTGGCTCCTGCGTTTTTAGTCTGAAAGGCATCACTTTGTAGCAATACGTTCCGCGATCGGTGATGAACGCCGTTTTCTCTTTGTCATCAGGATGCATAAAGATTTGATTGTACCCGGAGAAGGCATCCATAAAGGACAGCAGCTGATTTCCAGCTGTGGATTCGACCAGTCGGTCGATGTGAGGGATTTGGGCAAGCTTTATTGAGATCGGTGAAGTCCACGCAGACTCTCCACTTGCCGTTCTTCTTTTTAACAACAACGGGGTTGGCTAGACAATCATGATATTGAACTTCGGTAATTGATCCAGCTCCGAGTAGTTTTTCTACTTCATCAGTTACTCCTTGTGCTTTTTCGAGGCCGGGCTTCCTTCGTTTTTGTTTAATTGGTTTGAACGCCGGGTCTACGTTTAGCTTATGCGATGTGATTCTGGTATTGATTCCCTTCATGTCCTCCATAGACAAGGCGAATAAGTGCACATTATCCCGCAAAAGTTTGACGAGCTCGGTTTTTATGTCTTCTTCGAGATCGCCGCCGATGCTAAAGGTTCTTTCGAGATGTTGCTCGTCAATGCTTACCTGTATAACCCGCTCGGGTTTCGGTCTTTTATGGAAAGGAAGGCGTGGGTCTAAGTCCTCGTTTACCATGCATGCAGTTGTCGTCCTGATTTTTCTTTCGCTAAGGAGGCACATTCTTGCTGTAGACTGATCGCCTTGCAAAGTGAACGTGCCGGTAGATGTCGGGAACTTGATGCATTAATGGTATGTTGAGATGACGGCCTTCATGATATGGACCCATGGGGTCCCGAGTATGACGTTATAGATAGTTGGGCAGTCGATGACTACAAATTTCACCTTTTTGGTTACACCGCCGAGGTAGGTGAGTAGAAGTATCGAGCCGATACTGTAGTCGGTGCCGCCTGTGAATCCTGTCAGCGGTTTCGCCGTCGTTGTTATCTCGCTTTCATTGATGCTCATTCTCGCCAATGTATCTATGAAGATAATGTTGACGGTGCTCCAACTGTCGACCAACGCTTTGGCGACTGTGCTTTCGTGAATTTGTAAAGTTATAACCAGTGGGTCGACATGCGGCGTGTGCGAGCTGGGTAGATCCTCTGCTGTGAAATCCACTGGTGTCTCATTTTTTGGAATGGTCGGATTGCGCTTTGCTTCTAATGCTTTTTCTTCGTAATGCTTAATTTCGCTTAGCGAGCTGGGGTCGTTGAATACTCCTCCTATGATCATGTAAGAATCGTCGAAACATCGCGTGTTCTCCCGTGGGTAGTGGGATCGCGATGGTAGGGTTGCCGTGCTCATCAAGAGCAGGCGTACCAGTGTGCGTGGTGGTGTCCTCGCTGTTGAGGGTGAGGTCGCTGCTGTCGGTCAGAAGGCTCATCGCTTTGGATATTTTCTTGCTAGTTTCTAGAATTTATTTTCCTAGTCCCCACAGACGGCGCTAACTGTTGAACCAGATAATCACCACTAACGATTTGATTAACAGTTGTGGGTTTCAGAGAATAAGATCTTTTATTAATAGCTCAAAGATGAAGCGATTACAAGAGATGGCTTAACCAAGAGGTTATGCCGAAGTGAAAAGAAAGTGTTTGCGAAGTAAGCTAGAAAGTGTTGGAGTTCTTGGTTTTAGCTCTGCTACTCTCTAGATTGTATGAGTTGTTTTTGTGCTTCAGGGTCTTCTTATTTATAGGGATAGGAGGTCGGTTGCTTCGAGCTCTTTTTCTTTTTCTCCTTAGGTGAATGTTTTCATATTTGCAATATAGAAATATCCCTTATTCTCCGAAGAATATGGAATTTTTTTTTTATCCTTCGAGTTAATCCGATGCTTCCGGTTTTCCTTTTATCCGAGCTAGGTCGGCGCAGTCTTCATGGTCTTGGTGGGATTAAGTTATTGGTAACACTTTTCCTTCTCCCACGATGCAAAGTTAAGCAGCTTGAAAGGGGAGGCGTTGAATCTAATTAAGTGCGTTGAGCAGATTTGTTGAAGGATCACAACTTCTTGATTACACTTTTGTCTTCTGTTTTTACTAAAATTTATATGATGTATATGAGCCTAATTCTTTAATAAGTACTTAAAAGTAATTCGTGTTACCTCTACCTTCATTTTCAGAGTTATTTTTAGTTATAAATTTTAACAGTTGTAGTTCTTGCTACAGTATATACCATTATTATATCCTCTAAACTATGCAAGTGTGTGTATTCTTGTTTTTTCTAGAAAGCTACGGTATGATGTTTTGTTCGATTGGGCCAAATCAAACCGTATCTTAATAAAACCTTCTCTTATTGGCTTCTGATTTGAGTCCTGTTTTAATAGGCTTTTAAACATTGTATGGCCGGGATCATTCAAAACCAGATGTAAAATAACTAATTATTAAACGTCAGTGTTAGTACACTTCGTACCTACCATCTAATGCAGAAAGTACCCCATTGCTTCGTTGTAACTAAATATGATTCATAAGGATTTTTGAAGTAAACTTTGAACGGAAATTCCTGTGAAGCAAAGGAGAAGAAATCAGTGAAACAACCATGGAGGCCGAGAGAAGAGACCAACACTCATTTCCACCGTCTGAAACGATCCCTATCTTTGCTCTAAGCGATCCAGAGGAAGAGCTCGTGGTGCATGTGGTGGTGAAAGCTAGCGAAGAGTGGCACTACAAAAAAAAAATGCATTATTGTTACAAAGTTTATGTCTTAATATATAATTTTTTTGTCACAAATTCTTAAAAGTCTCAATAGAAACGTCACAAATCTAATTTAATCTTAAAAACATTACAAAATGGTGTGACAATTGACAATAATAATGATTTTTCACTACCTATAACAATATTAAAACAGCCACTAAATGATATAGTTTATGACAAAAAAATACTGTCACAAATTGTGATAAAAAATTGTCACATATTTATCACAAATTCTTACTATATTTAAGGTGGTTATTTGTAAACTTGAGGATTCTTAGGCCAAGATCTGTAGTCGATGCACGAAAGTGGCCAGATTTTGTGAAGCAGATGATCGTTCCAAGGCATTAAACTCTTTGGATTCTTGGCAGCGTAACCTCCCAAGGAATCAGAGTAGTGTAGCTTTGCTACGCCTTCCTTTTCTGCTGCCGTGAGCTAGAAAAACTGCCTCCCCACTTCCTGAAGCCGTCGCATTAACTCCGTCAGAATCCCGTCGTTAACCACCTGAAAATCATTATTATTTTGTGATAAATAGTTAGAAGTACAAAGTTAGATAAGTATTACAAGGGATTCCAAGAGATCAGTCATCAGCTCCGATCCAAGTGGGGTGGGTAGAGATGCGCCCGCCCAATGGCCCAACCCATTTGTTCTTTAAATTCTGTATACAATAGGGCTTGATTTTAAACAAATAAACATAAATAATTATATTTTTAATTTAAAAATAGTATTTATTAGTGGAGAAGTCATTAAAGAGAAGCCCAAAATTTTAAAATTTAGTCTAAATTTTTATGTTAGAAAGCCTAAATATTTAAAATTTAATGAAAATATATATATTAGAGGACCCAAAATTTTATTTTTACCCTAGAACTCCTAAAATATCATTGGGCCGGAGCTGTCATTCATATCCTTGCATTTTTTGCAACTGGTCAATGTGCTAGACCAATAAAATTATAAAAACTCACCAAACCTTCTGAAATTCCTAATCTAATACACCCTCCATAGTTTCTTGTAATATGTTTGAGCTGTTACACTTGTGCTCTTCAAGGTGTACAACATTCAGTACGTAGATTCCTAGCGGATGAGATGTATACAACCTGAAAGATAAACCAAGTGATTTAATCAACAAAATCTTTTTATTTTTCATCCAATTTTTTATACTTGTTCGTTTAACCAAATGTCATCACAGCTATTAATTGTTAACGCTTCCGCCTTTTTTCCTCATTTTTCCTTTAAATATGTGATGCATGATTCTCATTGATTAATCCAAACTTCTTACTCTTCATGCAAAAAATGAAGTCTGACATTTTTTTTGGTACGTGAGGTGGAGACAATCGTCTCCCCCATTTTATTCATTTATCCATAACTAAGCGCATACATAGCGAGCTTGCGTAAAACCATTAATATCGTCTGCAATCACTGAACTAACATCATCCGGCGGAACATCAAAGCCGTGAAAATCTAAAGGTAAATCGAAAGCATAGTTGGCCAATCTATCAGTGAGACGATTAGCTTCCCTATAAACATGTGATATTCGGACTATCCAGTCCCTAGAGAGAAAGCCATGGCACAATCACACCAGGAAAGACAAGGGATGTACCTCACTGATCCCTGTTCGTAAGAAGCCGACGACAATTTCAGAATCCACCTCCAATTCTAACCGAGTGACTCGCCTGTCCCACTCCAAATACAATCCGTAATACACTCCCCAAAGCTCGGCCAGAGGCGCTGAACAAACTCCAATGTTCAGTGCGAAGCCCCCATGCCACATTCCATCTGCATCTCTGAGTGCTCCTCCCGCAGCAGCTAAACCGGGATTCCCTCTTGATGCACCATCTGTATTAACCTTCCACCACCCATTCACTGGTGGTTTCCAAGAGATCATTCTCTCAACTCGAACCGGACTCGACCCACTCCCCCTCAAACTTATGATAGCTGTCGAGACTTCCCGAGCAAGATCTTTAAGAAAGCAAACACGATCTCTACATCTCCCATTTGTGCCAAAAATATTCCCACATCGCCATTTCCATCCTCACCAAACCGCGATCGAGAATAAAGTTAACCACTTGCTACCATACGCTTCTGAGTTATTCCCCAGATTCTCATATAACAATTCCAGGATGGTCTGCTCAAAGAAGCGTGTCCTCTGACCTGCAGGAACAATACGTTGCCAAATTCCCAACATCGCAGGGGAATCTCTCAGCACATGTATAATGGTCTCGACATCTCCTTTGCATATTTGGCAAACAGCTGTATCACTGAGATGCCGTCTTCTCCTTTCAACATTAGTCATAAGAGCTTGGTTGACAGCCAACCAGAGAAACAACTTAACTCTTTCTAGCGTTTTAACCTTCCATACGCGAGCAAACAGAGAATGCATCTGCTGTTGGGGTACAGACATCGTGGTGGCTAGAGAGTAAGCCGACTTCACCGTAAAAGAACCATCCTTCAAGGGCCCCCAAAATCATCTATCCCTCGCGCCTGTCACATCATCTAACACAAACGCTGCCAGTTGCATTTGCATATGTTTTGTTAAGTATGGTGTGACCCGCGCCAGTAGCCACCCCGTACCATTCTGCTAAAACTCCCGGACCGTGGCATTTGACAGTTCCTCCGGAACTTCTATAGTAGCTAGCTCCATAAGTGGAACCCTTAGTAGCCATTTATCCTTCCAGAACCTGATCCTCCTCCCATCACCTAGGATCCAGCCCAAACCCGGGATGACGATCTCCTTCATTCCCAAAACCACACTTTGCCATATAGGTGAGCTATTATTCCTCAACTGAATCCAAGACTCTTCCCTTGTTTCTGAGACGTTATATTTTGCTCTCAAGACCCTTGCCCACAGTCTCTCTTTATCATGGATCAGTCTCCACCCTAACTTGGCAAGAAGAGCATTGTTCATATCTTGTGAGAGGCGGATTCCCAACCCTCCTTCATCTTTTGGTTGACAGACTCGCTTCCACGCTATTAGATGTTGCTTCTTGTGCTCTTGTGTATCTCCCCAGAGGAAAGCTCTCGAGATTTTGTCCAGTCTCCGAAGAGTTGACTTTGGGAAGGCTATTGTACTCATTGAGTGGACCGGAATAGCCGATACTACAGCCTTAGTAGATACAAAAAAGAGAGCCTTAGTAAAAATGAAGTCTGACATGGTAACACATAACTGTAAAATACAAATAGATAAATTAGTCTTTATCAAAATTATATATCACATAACTTTTCTAATAGTTATTACGATAACTAGACTAATACCCGCACATACATGCAGGTTTTGTTTTTAAATAAAATCTATTTTGTTATAAAATAAAATATGTCTATGTAAATTTTATACTTATAAATTTTTGTAAATCCCCTATATATTAATTGAGAAGCATTTTTAAAAAGTAACTTCATTTTTGTAAGTATTTACAGTGGTGCCATTATGCGGATATGTCAACCCCACATTCATTTTAAGCTAATTATTTAGAAAGAGTTAGATTACTAGACTAATTACATGATATCATTATATATTTTATGTCCATACATATGTTATGTTTCATTTAATAAATCAGCATTTAATTTATTTAGATATTCTTTTTTATTTCTTACCAAAATATATATTATATTAATTATTTCTTTATTTATATTTCTACCAAAAATCTATTTTCCTCTAATTTTTATTAAAACTTACTTTTGTAGAGTAAATAAATTATCATATCATCCATATAATAAAAAATATATAGATTTTTTGTACATGTATTATAATTTTAATTTTAAAAATTGAATATAAATTACTGATATATTATGGTTTTTATGGGTTTTTGACCATGATATAAGTCCTGTTTATAGAGTCTTTTTTTTATTTTCGAATCTTTTTGAGTCTTTACAGGTTTGGATATGTTTGGAGCTTATTTGGAGATATTGGAGCATTCTGGAGCAAAACAGAAGATGTTGCTGAAGAAATCAAGTCGTGCAAAAATTGTAAACTCGAGCAGAAATTGTGCAATGCGCGTACAAATCCCGTGTCGATCGACACTAGGGTCTTGGTGTCGATCGACACCAAAAGTGCACAAATCTTGCCCGAGTTTTTAAAGATTTCTGAAGACTTACAAGTTCGCCCAGAAGTTTTATATATTTGCAGTTTTGCCTCAAATCGTGTTCTGGGTCTATAAAAGGATTTTTATGGTCATTGTTTAGACTTAAGCTTTATTTTACAAAGAGATTAAGAGAGAGATTTTTAGAGAGTTTTTGGAGAGATAAATCATTCTCCTTTAGAGAGGATTTTGAGCTCCTTTATTTCTTCTATTGATTTCTCTTATGCTTTCTATTCAAATTATGATTTGTGTTTCATTGATCATGTATGAGTAGTTTGCTTGTTAGGTTTAGGGTTTTTCAAAAGTGATGATGAATTGCTAGGTTGAATTGAATTATTAGGATAAAATCATTAGAGTTCTTCATGTGGATTTGTGTTTAATGCTTATTCTAGCTTCATGACCTAGAATTTGATCTTAGGTTGTTTAATAGATGTGGAAACATTGTTAATCACCAGAACTAATCTTAGATGAGCAAAATTTCTATCTGCAAAGGAATTTGGTTTAGGATTTTGTGAACAATTGAACCTGATTTTAATGCTTGTTTGAATTAATAGGATTTGCAAAGGAATTTGGGATTCTAGGATTTAGACATAGATAATCTCTGCAGCGGAAGTTGATTGATTTTATATTAGTGTTTCAAGTTCAAGAACAGTGCTTAATAAACGCCTAACATTCTGTCTAGATTTGCAATTCGGATTCACCTGCGAATTTCCCAAGGCCTAGCGTTTCTCTCTTTGCTTTAAAACCTCCTCACAATTGATTTGCTGCTTTATTTTTATTACTTGCATTACATTTATTTAGTTTTCCTTAGCTTGATTTGAACCTAGAATCTAGTGTGCAACAATCTAAGTCCTTGTGGATTTGATCCCTAAGTACTACTGTAATCTCTTAATTTGAGAGAGTAGCTCTAAGGGTTAATTTGAGCATATTAGTTACTCAAATTATTAATAAATAAACATAAATCATTATATTTCAGTTTTTTTTATAAAGGGCCTTCATTATAATCTGAGTTCATTACAATCATTATAAAAGTTGATTGTAATTTGAGTTTGTTATAGTCATTATAAATAAAAGTAAATAATATATAAGATGGATAAATATCATTATTTTTTATAGAAGCTAATTATAATAAATTTTATTTATCACATTATTTTTATATAATCAATCATAGCAAAAATACATCAAAACCCTAACCATATTATAACTTAAATTTAATATTCCACTTTATTATGTATACACTATACTCCCAACTTACTTTTTCTATCGTATATTTAATTATGCTTTAATATTATATTTTAGATAATATTTTTTGGTTAAAAATTTTGGAGTCAATAATTATTCTTTTTATTTACAAAGAGATAATTTATGTATATAATTATTGTTTTCAAATTAAAATATAATTTTTAATTCATTCGATATTGTAGATAAGTAAAAAACTATTTAAATAATATTATTTAATTACTATATAAAAGTCAAAAGTAATTAAATATATACACAAATATTATATTAAATTTAAATAAATAATAATCATTTCATTCTGCACAGGGTGCGAATTATTACCTAGTATAATATATTTGTTGGGTTTATTTTTACCGTACCCTATATGTGAGCGATACGTTAGGCTTGCCGAAATGATGAACTTGGTGTCTAGGCTTGTCTAAAGACTCCCTACCTAAATGTTCTTCGGTATATAGCGGACTTCCCAATTAGTGTTATGTGGTAGCATATGTACTCTCTCTAAGCGTCTCTCGGATGGTACATATCAGAGGGAAATGTGTATAAGGAAAGAAGAAGAGGTCAAAGAGGAGTAGAAAGGCTAAAGATCCCCCAAGCATTCCCCGGAGGCAAGAGGCTGAAGATCCTCTAATGTTCCCCCAAAGATAAGCATTCACATCTTCTCTATCTTTTTACTCTATCCCCATTAAGAGAG